TGATGATGATGATGGTGATGCTGATGCTGATGATGATGATGATGATGATGATGAGGATGACGATGATGATGATGATGATGATGATGGTGATGCTGATGCTGATGCTGATGATGATGATGATGGTGATGCTGATGCTGATGCTGATGATGATGCTGATGATGATGATGATGATGATGATGACACGAAGCTTGCTGATCTTGCTGTGGGAAGGCATCGGGCCCACATGTTTGATCATGCTTGTGAGTATCACATTGACACCGTTCAGACAAGGTCCTGGGAGAGCATGACTCTCTGGCAAAAAGCAAAACTTCCATAGTGGCATCAATCATCGACGTGTTGTGGGTCCGAAAGCTATTTCGCAGGTTCAGCAAGTGGCACCTTTGTCTGGTACATTTTGCACAGGACTTGGAGCTTGTACAAGTCTACGAAGTCTAACCTCAGTTGCATGGGGCATCTGCTGATGTGGATGATTGCTCAAATCTGAGATCTAATTTCTAATTCAGTTGCATCCTAGTAGCCCCTCGTCTTCCTGGGTCTCTCGGTAGTGACGAACCTGAGCTAGGATGATCCAATGCTGTGAGCCATTAAGGCTGATCAAAAGCTGCGCAAACTTGCATCCACAGGGCATGTCCAGGTTAAACACTGCTGACACGCTGCCGTCACACTCAGTTAAGCAATCTAAAGCAAAGCAACATCTTGAACCATCTCACCAAGTCCACTCCGATCTACCTGAAACATCACGCAAACCGGATCCTTGAATGCCAAGCCCATTGAGTTCCCCGCAAAATCACGCCAGAATACCCAGTTGAGGACCTCATGCTGACAGAACGGTGCTTCTCAGCTGTTACCCCAGTGCTGTTGCTGTTGCTGCTGTTACTGCTTCTGTCGGTGTTGTTGTGGTTGGTATTGGCTCGTCTCCTATTATAATTAATGCTGTTCCTGTTGCTGTCGTTGCCGTTGTTGTCACTGTTGGAGTTGCTGCTTCAGTTTATACCGCTCAGCTGTCCGTGAGGTTCTTGCACCTCAGCACTCCTCTGTCATGCCAAATCGCTGCCTTACACCCACATCTTACGCACAATTGCAGGGGGTGGCCCGCCCCAAAAATTGAAAGCATTGCTCGAGTATCCTTCCACAATGGTATGAGTGGCCATTTAGTCAGGATGACTGGCTGCGGTCTGCGCACTGTCCGACTGTGGCCTTTTTCGCCACCTTTCATCCTTTCAGTTTCCCCAAAAGTCGGGCCCATGAGGTGGAAGCTGAAAAGGCTTGTACTCCCCGACATCCAGCACTCCCCGACATCTTCGGAGTGGAGGACCGGAAACGGGTCAGCGGCTCGGACCGCCATGTTCAACTTCCATCAGGGAGTGCATTGAGTGCTTTCAGGCGACCAAAGTCATGGCGACCTTTCATTGGAGCCAATGTTAGTCATGTTAAATGAGACACACACACACACACACACCCTCTAGCAGCGCAGATTTCAGCTGAGATACGACAAACAACCCAGAGCAGCCCATGAGGCATCGCACAGCAAAAACCTGCGGTGAATCAAAGATGCCATACAGTGCCCTCCTTTTTTCCCTCAATGGAAGCAGCAAAAATCGACCAACTCACCATTCAAGGAACTACTTCGGTTCAAAGTTCTTTCGTGAGCGTTTTCTTGAAAACCAACAGGTATGTCCAAGCATGAAAATCATTTCATAACACCGCATAGAATAGCCACCTGCTCGGAGGTGTAGTCATAACCTTTGACATGTCGCCATCACGTGGAGAAGCATGGAATCTTTCTGTCTTCAGAACTCCGAGCTGACAAACATCCAAGGACCCCTTGATACATGTCTAATCACCAGCTCCCGACCCCAGAAGTGCTGCAATTCTAAGGGTGTGTGGATAAAAGACGCAGATGAAAGCTCCAACTGAATTTCTGAGACCAACACAGAACATGAGCAACAGCACGATGGCGTGCCACACCATCAGCAGGCAGCTAAAGCAAGTGAACATTGCCTGAGCCAGGCGACTTACTGCATGTCTCACAGGCACACTTTGGATGGCATGCAGCTACATTGAAGCTATTCTCTACAATCAACTTTGACAAAGCCTTCTGATCGGCACAGCGAAGTGCCGTCTGCACTTGGAGCCCGGCTACGGAGCAAGACCAGTGGCTGCGGGTGTGCAAACACCTCCGTTTCAAGGGAACGAATCAGACAACTATGTTTTGACGTTTTGACGTGCCCCATGTCGATGATGAAGGAACTAACAGCGGGGGTGTATAATGTAGTTGTCGTATGTATATATACTGAGGGTATATGGATAGTAGATGTGCTTCAGTTCTTGGCCTGAGTATGTCTGAGTCACGGGCCCCATACGCCGCAGCATCGTGGAAGCATCTGCGCTCTTCATTCGGAAGTAGCCTGCAACTGATGGCTAATGAAACTCAAAGGGTACACTGCCCCGTGTACTGAACATAGTAGCACCACACAAATATCGCATGTGATCGTATTTGTATCTGACCAGCCACCAAATACAACCAAGTAAGTCTGAGAGCCAAGCTCCAAGTCAGTTGCAGTGACCAAAACAATTTCAATGTAGCAACCTCCGTGAAGGCAAACCAATGTGACAATGTCTGTGTGTGTGTGTTTCGCGTTCCCTAGATTCTTGACTTTTGTGGATGCTTACTTTTCACTTGCAAACGCGGGATTTGTTACTGTATAGTTATAGATTAATCACCTCTGTAGGTGTTGCTGGACCACTTGGCAGCCTTTCCACTTGGCTACATCCCAAGCGCCGTTGAGTCTCTGACAGCCATTGGCAGGCACAACCTCAGCCATCACTCTCTACAAGAGAGGACGGCCCCGCAACCAACCCGTTCTGTGGGCACACAGTTTGAGGTGTTTGTCAGCGGAACTCCCGTCTATGCTAAGAAGGTGCATCAACAATCCAACAGTGCCCTCATTCCCTGCCCTGTTGAACTTGAGGAAGCAGTAGGGAGCGTCGGTGGAATGCAGAGAGAGAAAGAGAGACAGAGAGAAAGCAGTCAGCAATCACTGCCAAAAAGCTACAAGCCTCCCCGACAACTTTCGGAACACATTCTACAGGATGTTGCTCGGACCAAACCCAACTCGACAAACGCTTGCACTTGCATCACTTAAAACGAAAAACACAATGATAAGAATAATTGGTCTGACCGACAGACCTTTGACAATGAAGCTGATGGACCTGCCAAAACACAATACACGTCAAGGCTCCGATGCCAATATGCTTGTTGTTGAATAGAATCGAAACTTGATATGGAAGCTGAACAATTAAAGTCATTCCTCGAACACCACAGGCCAAAGCCAAGGCCACAGCAGTCGGATAAAAAGGCCCCTGGGTTGCAGCGATTTGTCGGAGAGGTACATGCAAACCTGTCACAAGTGGAGCGAGAAACCACTGTGAGCAAGTGTTGTTCCACCATGCACAAAGACTCAGCAGCCATCAGCAGCCTCTCTCGGAAAACCATGAAAAACCATGTTTTCGCGGCTTTTAGCGTGGCCAAAGGCATGAGAATACAAAAACTTCCTGAGTTGCGGACTATGATGGCAGCGATCTCTAGGGCCTCAAAAGCACTGCATCCCAATGTTCTGATTCAGCATTCATACCACACAGTTGGTCCTGCGACTGTGAACCACCTGCCCTGAGCTTTCGAAGGGCTTGACAATTCAAGCCTCTTCTTTCTCATGCTCTGTGGCACGTTTCAGCATTTCTGAGCTGCAAACAGATTCTGCTACATGGTACTTCAACCGACGTAGCCTCGAAAGCTACCGTGGAACAAAAAAAAGGTTAGGGACTTAGGGAGCTCTACACACAGTGCCACCGACCAATCAAACCCACAACCAAGAACACACATGCAAACCCCATAGCCATCACGACCGTACGACACGCCGTGAGTGGAGAAGGATCGCAATCGCATGAAGGATCGAATGACATGAAGGATGAGGGATCCATCTCAGCTTCTGGACAGCAAAGGTTCGCCATGCCAGCCCATCAGCGCCATGACCTCGGGACAGTCAACCTCCAGGTCCACTTTTCGGGAGAAATATAGGTTTGCAACTAGGTTTGCATACAGGTTTGCATCTGTTTCAACCATGGTCAAGGAAGAAAAGCTTAGGCAGCCGATGCAAATGAGTTCAGGGGATTCATCGTTGTGATGCTATGCTGTGCCAGGATTCTGGGTCGGTGGTCGCTGTGGCTGCCATATGGCCTGGCCGTGCATCATAGGGGCTGCCAGCTGCCCACCCACCCTCCCACCCACCTCAAAACAATTTATTTACTATTCTTAGGTGGGTGTACCCACCTGAGCTCAGAATTATTTAGCGAGTAGGGAAGCTCGGAAATAATAAGCCAAATAGCAAGTTAAGATAGGGGTTCTCAGCTCTGCAAAATAATTTCCAATAAACCCTGCATCATACCTTCTTCCATGGGTTATTGTTATTCTATGTCATTCTATGCTGAAAATTATTTAGAAACAATATGTCAAAATAATAATTAACTATTTTGCAACATCCTACACCATATTTTTGTCTACGTGGTAGATATTACTTTGACCCACCACCTACATGCCTTTCCAAATAATGCCTTTCTAATTACTTTAAAACATATTTGGAGAGGAGACGGTCACCTCAAAATAATTTAGCGTGGCATGGGTTATCGTGCATCTGGCGTTGGACATCCGATTTACGAGGGCTCACCACAACATCATACCGGAACGCCCTGGAGGAGCAAGGACGCTACTAGGGGCTCCTGGCCTTACTACTAGGAGCAAATCCTTTACTCGGCTTGACCAGTTTCCGTTCGTTCGCATCTCACCATTCTCGCACCTCGAGGTCTCTGAGCTGAAGGGATTCAGCTCCTGCCACCTCCTAACTAAGAAACGGCTGAAGAGGAGGCCGAACAGCAAGAGGCCAGGACCGGGATTTGAACACATCTTCATGCCACTGGGATTTGCATTGCAAACTCAATTTGATATAGGGTCTGTGCTGCCCACTACGTGGACTCGACTCTTCATGCCCAGAAGCATGTCAGATTCTGGCTGTCAGTGAAAGCATCTCAAACTCCGCACACTTTTTGGACATGGGCAGCAGCGGACTCCTTAACCTGAACATACCTGAACGAACTACAAATAAATGAATGCAACAATTGCCTTGCTAGGCACATCTCTTGGACAAAGCCTGCTCATCATGAACGCCTGGGAAGAACAGCTGGTTGGGCTTACAAAATCATACAAAGCATGCATGTGCATGCGCATTATGTTTGCCTGCAACGTTGCCAAGCTTGCATTAGCACGCTAAGCATCGAACATGGCATTGGCCTTTGCAATGTCCTGACAGCTGCCTCTCATTCCATGCCCCTTCATGAGTCACTTTCCCAGTATGTTGACGCCAGTGTCACAGCCATCGTCCTTCTTCGAGACACCCTGCTGTCGTGCCACTTCCAAAGCAGCACCTGGGTCGCTCGTCACCGACGAATGAAGAGATTTCAGACGGCAAAGGTCAATCAGCCAGAAGTGTCAAACGAATGTCACCCAATCACGCCTTGCTGACTGTCCTGTTCTTGCTCTGTGCTCAGCAGCGTTATGCCCGTGGAGCTCCATTTCACAAGACGTGGTTGAATTGAATGGAGGAGATCTCCCACCAGGCCAGGGCTATCTAATTCCTGAAGAAGTGCCTTGAACTCTCTCCCTCCTTTTTCTGGGCCAGCGAATATCCACGAAATGAGGCCCCCCACAAAAGAAGGCTGAGTTGCCCGAAAGAGCGGCCGACTGGGCAAGCGGCACGGCACGCAGCCCGCTGGGCTCAGCGTCAAGAAGCGCCAAGAGAAGCGCTTTTGGAAGCGTTTTTTAAGAGTGTTTAGGTGGTAGTACAGTACATGATTGGTTAACAACCACAATGGTCGAGCAAAGAAATTCCCAAACACTTGATAGTTGCTCCTGGTTGTTTCAAAAGAATCCATTTGGTGACAACTCCGTTCGGTCCCCATTCGCCTTGGAACAAGTCTGGAGACTGATGCAACCCCCCTAAATCCCAAAAGTCCCTCGAGCAGTCCATTTCTATCCTTGGGGACTGGGTTGCTGCATCTGCCTTGCCTCCAGTTGCCGCAGCGCTTCTCTTCGCGCGGCCTAAGGGCCCCCCCCCAATGAAGATGTATGAAGCCTTCTCTACCCTGAACGTTATCAACTCCAGCTTGAAATTGTCCGAACATTCGCGCCTCGGAGTTAGCGATGCAAGCAATCCGTTTGTGAGGGGAATCGCTGCGTTGACTGAAAATACATGCATCAAAATGGTAGACATGCAGAGTTGACCAGCAAACCAAAGGCTAGCCAGCTTCGCCTCAACCATGGCGGCAGCCGTCTGCTCTTTCTGTGCTTCTTCCGGTGCAGCCTGACGGCCACGGCCACGGATTCCAAGGCCTGGCGGCCTAGCCCGACGGCCACGGCCACGACGGGCACGTTCCACCCCGCCACTCCGTCCTCTCCGTCGGTGGTGGTGAGCTGCAATTCATCCGGTCGAATCTCAGCGAAACGACGCAAACATGACGCACCCAGTCAACCAAAGTTCAGAATCGACTCAATGACATGAAAAAAATGTTTCATGTTTTTTCCGGGATCTTTTTTCCCGTTTTTTCCCTACTGTTTTTGCTTTTGCTTCTGCTGGGAGTGCTTTACAAGCACTAGGAGCAGCAAAAAGGGCAGGGGACGAAGCACCAAAGTCAGCGTGACAGTGACAAAGGGAGGGAACAGAAAAGGTATTCCACTTACTAGGGACTTCTCTGCGGTTGTCTTTGGGTTTCAGTGGTTTCGGGTTTCTTTGGGCTAAGCAAAGTAGAAATCCACCTTTGTGGCAGCGTCAACGCAAAGAAAATAGTTGCTGTGGTAACTGCGGTAAGACTCGTAGCGGGGTGGTCCGAGTGATAGAGGTATTGGAAATAGTAGGGGTGGAACTACAAAAACAAGCGGGAGGGGGTGTGGGGGAGGGCGCAGCGCCTCCCCTGCAATGCAAATCAAATATAGACAGCGCTGGGCTGCTTCGTTTCTCGATTGGTGTACAGTCATTGGGTGTCAAAGCTGAAGGTGAAGGTCTTATCATCCAACTTTGTGGCAGTGTCAATGCAAAGAAGATAGTCGGCAAGTCGGCAGAAGCAAAAGCAGAAGCAAAGGCAGAAGCAAAAAGCAAAAGCAAAAGCAGAAGGAAAGCAAAAAGCAAAAGCAAATGCAAAAGCAAAAGTGAGCGCACCTTTTAAGCGCCTTCAACACTTGAGCCAAAAAAAGGGTAAACGACCTAAAGGTGAAACGAAGTGAAACATACCTCTAAGCTAGTCACGCCTCCCGAGTGAAGGCTCAGTGGCCGTCACGAGTGCTAGCTTACGCGTAGCGGTCCCTCGGGCATCGAGTGCCAGCGCGCGCTTACCATCTTTCTTGTGGAACCCCATTGCTTTGAGCAATGCCATGAGTCGTCCCAATGGCTTGGTCATTGCATCGGCTAGCATCTCTGCTGTTCCCACCTTTCTTAGTCGAAGCCGCTGCTTGTCTACAAGGTCCTGCGCCCATAAGAAACACGTTTCGATGTGTTTCACGCGCCCCAGGCCACGGCGGGAGCCGATTGAGATGCCAGCGCTGGCATCGAGAGCAATAACGACAGGACACGCTATCTGCCAGTCCTGAAGCATTGCCTGTTCGCCTAATGCAGCTGACGCTGTGCTGATCAACCCGTAATATTCGGCCTCGCCCGTCGACAGCGCGATGACTGCCTGACCCTTGGCCTGGGCCTTGATGACGCTCTGGCCAAGCTGGATGACAGTCCCTGTTGTTGATTTCCGGCTCCGGACGCAACCTGCGTGGTCCGAATCGGACCAACCCAGGACAGTCGTGAAGCTGTTTTGGTGTGGGATGAGTTGAACCAGCCTTGCGCATCCCCGCAAATACCTGGCAGCCCGCTTGAGCGTTGACCAATGGTGCATGGTCGGCTCTTCCAATCCTTTCGCCAATTCCCGCACCGTTCGGAGCAGATCAGGTCTGTCCAACGACAGATACCCAAGCCTCATTGCAGTGCTCCTGTACGTGGCAGCCTCACTGGTTGACAGAGGCGTGTCATTTTCCTCACCAGGCTTTGTCTTGACCAGCGGGGTGGCTACTGGAGTCGCTGCTTCAAGGTTGAGTTGCTGCAAGACCAACTGCACGTGACGCGGATCAGCTTCCATTTCAATGCCCTTCTCAGTCCACGTAACCAGGCGATTGAGAACGCTGATGCTGTGGATTACTTCGGAGGCTGGCAGACCCGAACCGGGTCTTGCCAAGATGCCACGAACATCCAACGTCCAAGAGGCCTTGAGGGTATTGACCAGCCACTGGAGTTGGTGAAAGTCGCCCACAACAGTGAAGTCATCTCCGTGCACATTTGCGTACAACTGGCGCTCCTCATGGAAGTAGATGCATGGGTTGCTCAAGCCCTGCGTGAACCCACAAGCTTCGAAGACCACCTTGATGGCATGCTCCCAGTTGCTCGGGGCATCGCGGGTACCGTACAAGCTCTTCTTGAGAAGCCCAACCTTGTTTGGGGATTCGCCAGCCTCTGGCAGCAACTTCACCAACAAGCGCCTCCGGATTGGAGACCAGAAGTGAGCTTTCTTGACATCCAAGAAGAGAATGCAGGCTTCGCCACTGACGGATACGGGGCGAAGCTTGCCATCTGGGCCTGGAATACGCTTCGTGGTTTAAGAGCGCACGCAGAGACAACAAGGGCGGCATAGCCGCAAAGAACTCTTCCCATGTAGGGTCATCCGAAGTTTGGGCACCAGCCTTCTTCCGTCGCAACTCCTGGGCTACGAGGCGACTGCGAAGTTTCATTCGCAATTCGTCGCCCTTGTTAACATCCAGCCACCGGGTTCCGATCACTGGCTCGTTCTTGGGCCTGTCAATGACCTGCCAGACGCCCATGGATCGGATAACAGAGATCTCCTCTGCACGGGCTGCGCGGACGCCTTCGGCCGGCAGTTCCTTTCCCGTCCGATCATCATAGAAAGTCTGGTAGATCTGCTCTTGCGATAGGCCGTCTTCCCAGTCGCATGTGGGTCTTGAGGAAGCCAGTGTGCCGATGTAAGCCTCCCTCTGTGCGTGGATGAGACTCTCCAGCATGGCTTCTGGTTCTTCCGCCTTCCGCTTCTGCGGGGCGCTTCGAAGTTGCTCACGTTCTTCAGCGCGCAAGCTGTCATCTGCTTCACCTCCCTTCCGTTTAGGTCGGGCAACCGAATCGGTGCTCTGACCTGAGGATGAAGAGGCGCCTCCCGGATTGGGAGGGGGCAGTATGGCCGCCTGCGGCGCCTCCAGGCTTGTCGCCCTTTTCTTTTCACTCTTGTCTTCCTGTTGTTTCGGCTGGGCTTCCTGCTTGCGCTTCTTGTCATCTTCTTCAATGACCTTGGCAATATACAGTTCCTCCTTTTCTTTTTCGCGTTCAAGCCGTAGCCGTCCAACATCCGTTGTTCCCAATGCCTCAATCACTCGCTTGCGGCAATGTTCAGAGTGCAGGATGCCAGAACGGTTGCGCCCTTCACGGATAGCGGCGCAAGCATCGTAGCCACCTGTGTACCCGTGAAATTCCAGATCAGCCTGGCGGATGTACAGCCTTCGGTAAGGTGTGCCTCCACCTGGTTGGTTGGTTGGTTAAGAGCGGAGGTGGAAGCCCTTCAGTGACCTGCGGGGCGATAGCCAAGGGTGATGGCAATCGATCTGAGTCCCCTTGATCAGCTCCATCAGGTGTCGGCTTCCATGGGAGGCCCTTGATCCTCTCAAGCAGTTCATTGCAGCATTGTATTGATCGCTCTCCGGCTTTCTGCGAATGCTTTGGACGACGAAGATGCCGTTTTCAGTTCCGATGATCTTTTCAGAGCTTGTGAGGCGAACACCCAAGACGATTCCTTCGTTCCAGCGGCCTTCCAGCTTGTCTTGGGTTCTCTTGCGATAGTCAACGACTTCGCCGAAACATGGCAAGCAATTTGCCACTTGCGACCCTTGATTCGCTGAAAGGGAGTGAGGCCTTCAGCACCTTCTTGGCTGTAGAGGGTGTGCAGCGTTCCCGCGTGCTCCACCATCCAAGCCAAAACGCTGAAGCTGGACCCAATGGGGCGCTCAAGATGCGCCTTCAGCGTCCGCACGAGTCCTTGACAGGTCTGCACGGCACGCTCAGCTGCACCATTGGATTGGCCGTGGGCGTCCCCTTTGGGAGACTCTTCCGGCAGAACCTCGCCTTCAAAGCCTGCCTTGACGGTACGGGCAAGAGCTTTGATAGACGGCTCTTGGTCATGCTTCAGAACCAGCCGGCGGTAACCCAAGAAGTTCAGGTCTTTAAGCACAGCCTTCTCGGGATAGGTGCTCCCTTGCGTGCCCTTTGCGGGCAGCAGGTGTGAGAAGATGGCTTTGGACATCCCGTCTCGCAGGACGAGGGTTGGAAGGCTTGAGCCAGACCCACTACTAGGCTCATTAAAGTAGAGGTAGTCCATAGATATTACGGGGGTTGAGGAGGTTTGGATTGAAGGACGGTGTGAGTACGCACGGCCGCGTCCAGCAACACATGCCCGACACCAGTTGCGATATGGCACATGGCTAACTTCATGAGCTGCTATCATTTCAGGTGTTGGCTGGTGAGGCCTTGCGATTGGACGTGCTTCCTGTCCTTCCTCCTGCAGGGCAGGTGCTGAATCAGCACTCTCCCCTTGTGGACACAGCACAGGTCTCCAGTTGCCTGCTCCCAGCTTTTCCGCGCCAAAATGGCTCATGGGTGAAACGGCCTTTGGGAGTGAAACCTTCCTGGCCGAGCTTCCGTCTGGGGAAGTCAGCAGATTGAGTGAAACATGGTCTCGGCAACAAATGGGTCTTACGCCCGGTCGGGCAGCCTGCCTCTGAAAACGTGAGACCCAAAAGGAAAACTGCGGAGTTCCACCACCACTTGGGCATGTCAGAGTGGCGCCCGTCTTGTCATTGGTGATGATGGCCCCGCGTGCGTTCATAGTAATGGTGTTCCCTGCTTTTGCGCACTGGGTTGCTGACAGCAAAGGTCGCCACACATCGGCCACATGGAAGGCTGCTTTCAGGCATTTCCCGTCCTGAGTCACCATAGTGAATTTGCGGCTCCCGATGTTGGGGATCCAGGCTCCGGATGCCGTTCGGAACCCCTCGGGCCCTTCCGGCTTCAGCAGTGGCAAGATGTCCAGTGTTGCCACTGGCAGTACGCTGTGGGTGGCCCCGCTGTCCAGGGTACACTGCACACATTCGTACTGCGTGGGCTTCGGGCAAGGTACCGATGCGGTCCTTTGCCCCGAGACGTGGTTCAAGAGACCATCGCTCTCCTCCTTGGCTTCCCACTTGGGCTTGACAGCCTTCTTCTTTGATTGCGCCGTCACGGCCGCAATCCCAGCCACTGCCCGATCGAGAATCTGGCTCTTCATCAGCCGTGGCCTTGGCGATTCGTCCTCTGACTCCACCTTAATCTCCTCGAACTCTTCGGGCTCTGTCTCAACAGCAATCTCCTCGAACTCATCGGCCTCAGCAGTCACTGGAGCGGATCGAAACGAACCTGCTCCACTTGCTGGCTCGACTTTGGCTGCTGCTTTCCTTGCCTTCCCCTTCTGTTCTCTTCGCCTTTTGCTCTCTCGACCTTGTGGTCCCCCCATTGGGTTGCGCGTGTCCAGTCACGCGGATGCGCATCAACCAGTTCTTTGTCTGCATCCTCTTGACGGAAGAGCTGCTTCTCCTTCCTTGTCAGGGGTGCAGCGATCAGGTCCCCATTGGGGATGAGAGGGTAGGCCTCAAGCTTTCGGCCCTCTTTTGCTGTGAATTTCTCATGCCAGTCATTGTCTTTCTGGATGCGGTCTGCGGCCCTGTCTGGCCGGCTCTTCTGTCTATTGTCTGCTGCCCGTTGGCGGCTTTTCTCCTTCCTCCATGCTTGACGTGGATTGCATCCAGCAGCAATGTCAGCAGCAAAGCGGGGAGAACGATTCCTTACACCCGCCTTCTGTCTAGCTTCATCTCTGCAAGCTGCTCCTCAGCAACCCTAAGGTTCTTGGCAACCTGTGTCCTCTCATCATCATCGTCGTCCATTTCCCGTAGACGAGTGCGAAGCGTTTGCAAGCGATGGAACAGTGATTGCCCAAGCTCACCCTGAAGGTTGCGCAGCCCCTGTCGAGTGCTACTTGCGGAGATTGCATCTCATAGGGCTGAGTGCTCGGGCGGCCCTCGAAACGAGTCTCCTCCCCAATCACTCTTGACCTCCCCTTCAAACAACAGCACCGACAAATCCAGTCAGGGCACCTACTTCCGGATCGGGATCCTCCTCGGGTTGAACTTCGTGATCCCAGTCCTCAAAGTATTCAAGCTCATAGGTCTCATGGCCTTCATCGCCCTCAACCTCATGAGCTTTACCTGTCTTTCCTTTACCTTTGCCCTTTTTTCCCTTGGATCCTTTCTTTGCATCTTTCTCTGAGTCTTGTCGCTGCCAACAGTCTTTGGCCATGTGGCCCTTCTTGTTGCAAACGTAGCAGGTGATCTGTTGCCTGGCCCCCTTGCCATTTCCTCCCCGGCCCTTGCCACGACTTTTTGCCCCTTTCAGTGCATCAATCTCCATAGGAGTGGCTCCTGAATCAGCTGGTGTAGTGAGAGCCCGGCGAGTCTCAGCATAGCTCACCATTTCCCGCCGCATGGCGTCATACGTTGTCAACCGAGACATGTTGAGTTCCAAGTGTGCTGAAAGGGCCGGTGGGGCCAGTCCAAGAATTGATACAATCCTTTGTTGCTCGTCCAAGGCATTGCAGCCTTTACGCTGAGCGTATCGGCGATGAGAGTCCTCCCACCGCTCAATGGCAGGCACCAGTTCACTTACGCCTGACACAGCCTGTGTGGACATGAGAGTGCGCAAGATTCTCATAGAGGTCACTGCGTCTGTTGGGTCCAATCGTGAATGCAGTCGCCTGAACATGTCTAGGCCAGAGCCAGCACTAGAGTTCATGGCAATGTCCCCCGGACTTCCGGTAGTCAGGGTGCCGAGTACCAATTCCAGCTGGCGATTGAAGTCCAGCAGTGTTTCCCTTTGCACTTGAGACGGCAAGCTCATAGACTCAAGGTTTGCCAAGGTGATCTTCGTATCGCCCTGGTCACGGGCCCATCCCAGTAGAGTCCGGGCATCTGGAAATTGGCTACTCAGCCACAGCTCAAGACGATAAGACCATTGTCTCCAATCTCGACTGGCTTCTTCAATGCTTCCTCCCAATGGGTTTGGCCTTCCAACCAGGCGCTCCGCTACCATGAGCGCACCTTTTAAGCGCCTTCAACACTTGAGCCAAAAAAAGGGTAAACGACCTAAAGGTGAAACGAAGTGAAACATACCTCTAAGCTAGTCAAAAAGCCAAAAGCCAAAAGCAAAAGCAGAAGCAAAAAGCACAAGCAGAAGCAAAAGCAGAAGCAAAAAGCAAAAGCAAACGCAGTAGTGAAAAACACGCGAAAAAACATCCCGGAAAAATCTGAAAAACAATCCAAGAAAAATAGGGATTCCTGAAGAAAAAGCTAAAACCATCGTAAAACAGCAAAAAACATCTCAGGGATTCAAGCATCTTAAGTAGGTATTCATTCTCTTCTCTGGCATCTTGCTGCATCACAACGCATATGCGAAACGGCTTGCACACGTGGGACTTTCAAAAGCCGGACCTGGGACATGTCTTTTGGCCATCTTCAGCGGACTTGCTAGACTTTGTGTTCATGTTGCACTGTGGCGGCCACCACCTCATATCGCCTCTGCTTTTCGGAAGCGGTACAATTTCCGTTTCTGGGCATCCGCGGCTCCCATCAGCATGCGTTCGCCGGAGCCACTCACGGCCTCTTCAAGGACCACGGTCAAGGTGTGGACGCTGAAGCCGCTTTTGCCACGCCGGGTGTGGTCGGACCACGGAATTGGATCATGTTTTCGCACCAAACCATCTTCTTGGACTCCTCACCCTTTACAAACATGACAAATTAAGATCGCAGCATTCTGGGGTTATCATGGGCAAAGCTTGAATGTTCCAACTTCGTAGCAAAATGATGAGGCAGGACAAGGAGGGAATCCTGTGTGCTGAAGGGGCCCAGATTCGAACGCCAGTGTTTGTGGCTGTTTGGTCTTGCTGTGCATGCACCTGTCAATCATGGTCTTTTGCTCCTCATCCGGCTGGAAAAACAAAAGGGCACACGCAAACCTACCAAGAAAGGACGGAGTCTTTTCTGGCAGGATTGATATTTTCATTGTTGGTTTGGATGCGCCAGCAACTCAATCCGACTTTCGTCGTTCCACATGCCTGCGCCCAGCCCTCGTCATCAGAGAGGCGGATCCAGCCATGATACCTTGGAGTGCACTCTGAAGCCCCCAAACCTGCTTCTGGGATATGTCGACATGTGTCGATGTAGATTAGAATCTGTCACTTGATGTTATTTGTATTTATTTGTCAACACTCAACATTAATTACACCATATTACACCAAACGAGGCTCTTTCACGAGCCTGCACATATTGAAAATCACGTTCGTCTTACAAATGCGTGCTGCAAATGAAATGATACACCAAACGCGAAGGTCTGCGTGTGCCAAGGCCTCACTCAGAGCCCCCAGCGTTTGCGAGTCTGCCAGCAAGAATTCACCAAAGCTCCTTCTTTGCAAACCTCCATTATGATACTATGGTACATGATTCATAAAGAAAGCTCCAAAGCTCCTTCTTTGCTCCTTCTGCATCATATTTATATACATGCAAGCCTAGCTATGCGTTGCCTTCTTATGATGCAAATCACCGAAGAAGTCACATACCGCATTGCTCCATTGGTCCTCCTGCCGAGAACTAAAGCACCTTCCACTGGCTCCTGGCAAACAAGTTGCAATTCACATCAATTCACCTTAGCTAGAGGCGGAATTGCCTCACACCTTACACCAGCTCTGTGCTAAGGCTAAGACACACGGGGCCAAAAAATGCCAATGACAGGCGTCTCCTGTAAAATGTCTACGCCATCATCAGCGACAACCTGTGCGCAGCAGGTGAGCTCTGTGCAGTGCACTTTGCCAAAGGCAAATCAAACTGTGACTCCAATGAACATGCTTCTGGGCAGGAACTGCATATTGCCCTGTACCGATTTATCATCGCCTCCACCATCTGCCGGCCGGGTGTCTTGGCCAAAGTCTCCACAGCAACAGCCTCGGAACCAAAATGAACAACCTCGGCCTGTGCGGAAACCATGTCAAAAACAGAGTGGACCACTGTGGACTTAGTTCATCCAAATGCAGCCACCAAGATCAGGAAGGGTACGCCTTCCTGCAAAAAAGCCTCGGTCCCCGCGCTCGGGGCTTCTCCAAGGCCTGTGGCTGGTGTTTTCAGCCCGAAACAACGAGGAAAAGGAAAATGGAAACGTATTCAGTATATATTCCCTCCCCCCGGCCACATGAAGAATGGAGTCTATTTCTATCTATTTTGCGACCGCTCATGACCGCAACAGGTCTTAAATGCAAAACATTTTGATCAGAGTTGCTCGCTTTTGTACTTCCCCTCAGCTGTATTTGTCCCCTGGCCCGACAAAGCCACGCCCTCACCGAGCAACAAAGCATGGCCTCCAAGCACTTTTTGCCACTGTTCCCCTCTTCAGCGCCCTGTGCTTCACCAAAAGCTCAAAGAAATCAATCACAGAATAAGTTCAAGCTATCCAAGCTTCCATGAGCTTCCGAACCTGACACATCCATCCATCTTCTTCAGCCAGCTTGACCCAACCTGACGTCTGTGTCGCTTCAACCTTATAATATTGTCACTGCCACAGAGGGTATGCATGAACATGAATTACTTTACCATTTGTTCTTTGTTCTAGTGCCTATTCTTTTGACCGTTCTGAAAACAAGTCTATTCCTGATCCTATTTTTCTTACTAATCTGAAACCATGCCTATACCGTTCCTATTATTCTTCCTATTCTGAAGTTGTTGGACTATTCTTTTTACTCTTTACTATTCTGACAATCATTGTTGTTTCTATGGCTATTCTATTCACCTATTCGTTTTGAAGCTTTTGTTACCGTGCCTTTCCTTTTACTATTCTGAAATCATCCTTGTACATTCACCTTTTCTTTGGTATACTTGTATTCTGTACTCACATTGGGCAAATACTGAATTGAACCAATTTGGCGCCATTCCGCCATTCCTTCTCAAGAAAGTATTCCAGTGCCCGGTCAGTGCCCTGTGCCCAGGTCAAGCGCCCAGGGCCAGGGATTAGGACAATGTTTGGAACCCTTGGTTCATGGGCTGATAGTGGCTGACATGACCTCGCCAGAGTCAGAAGAGCGTGATGCAGAGGTGAACAAGGCTGATGAAATCTGAAGTGAAACCAGTGATGCCTTTGATACACAGCCATCGCAGTCTGATGGATCAGAGCTTGAACAGAGATGGTGGGTCAACCAGATCGTGGATTCTGCAAGACGCCTTGGCCTTTTAGAGAAAATTGAAGAAGCCAAAGCCAAGGCCCACTCAGAAAACAGGTTCCTTCAGGTTCTTTCCTGCTGTACTGGCTGCTGTGCAGAGACAGAAGTGTTGAAGGCTGGCGGCTGGGCTATACATGTTTGCGTGTGTGTGTGTGTGTTAATGACATGACCCTTAGTATGTCAGCAGGACATGACAATGAACATGGTTGTAGTCTAGCCAAGTCTGCAGTAAAGAGTTTCTGATAGGAACAAAAAGCCAGAGAGTGTTGAATCCAGTCTAGCTCTGCAAGTTTGGCTACGGCACATTTGATGGGTCAAGGGTAAATTGATGGGTATGCCGGGTATGGTATGGATGAGCATATGGTATCTAAAATTTTGCATTTTTGGATTCAAGCGCAACTAGTAATCAGTCATTGAATCCTTCAAGGCCTTGGACATTCCACACCGCATGCTGTCAGCCTCAGAGCTGGGATCAGACTTCAGAAGCCTGTTCTTGGAGAACAGTCGGCCTGAGACTTTCAGACTTTCAAATTTGCGAGCTGTCTGGTAAATTGCGCAAAGTCTTTCAACCATGTTTTTGCAAGAGTTGAAGATCAACAAGTCGGACGGAACTGTTTGCTCTCTGTTTGCTCCATCCTTGGACCAAACATTGTGATGCGTGCGACCACTCAGCTCCTTCTCTCATGGTTTCCGGAAACCCCTGTGATCCAGTGCACAGTCCTCGCGATTTCAGCCTGGAGCTGTGAGCGGGCACAAGCTGTGAGATGTGTGACGATGGAAAGCATCGTTGCAATGTACCAAGAGAAGCAGCCACTCATAGGCCCGTTTGAGCAGGTAAAGGGGTTCTTGATGCCATTGGATCCCACGACCAGCGTCACTCCATTCAACAGGCTGGGGACAAGCTGCGCAAAGACTTATAAACACTTGCTTTGAGAAGATGTGACACTTGAAGTAGGCAGTCTGGAGTCTCATGATTGATATTAAAAGTTGCAAAGCTCATTGCAACAGTTCAGCACTCCGCCGCCCACACTGTAGCGCAGCTGCGTAGCTGTGAAGCTGTGGCAGGTTTTGCCAGCTGTTCAGCAAGGCCATGGAGGAAGTGGGTAGTTGCGGCTATTACCTGACCAAGTTCAATCTATGCTCTTCAACTTGGCTGAAGATTTCACGGCCAAGGCCGCTGGGGGTGGGGATATGGCTGTCGTACACGTGAACCTGTTTTGAAACAATGTGTTTGGTTGGTGGCACCAACAGCACAATACAAATCACATGTCACATGCATGCTTCTTGGCTCATTGTTCCTCAGCAGTGGATATTGCTTCTGACTTGGCTTTGCATAGGCATATGGCATAGGCTGCATACAAAGCATATGCAATATACAAACATGAAGGAATATTTCAAAATCAAATATCACGACTTGCACCCCCAGAGTGTTGAACCAGAGATTCTCAGATTCTCTTGACACCATGTGCTGAATTACTACCTTTTGTTGCCTGTTGCTGGCATGAGCAACATTGTTGGCCAACATGGTGCGAACCAAGAATCCGACGATGCCTTGGATGTTGATGATTTGTTGCCCAAAGAGCGTCCAAAAGAAGCTGATGCGTCGAGTCAACACCACATGATTACAGCGAGTGACCCTTTGCAGAGCTTTCTTTTACAGGAGAAGTCACAGGAGGCACGCGAGTTGGATGATGAATGCGACTATATATATACTCCAACAACGCTTTCAGGGAAATCATTGAAATCATTGTCCTTCTTGGATGATCCAGGTGTGATTTTTCCCAGAGCTAGATCCAGAATCAGAAGAAGAAGAAGAGAGTAAGAAAGTGTCTACAGGTGGTGACATCGACGTAGATGTAGATGCAGCAATCACGTCACCAACAATTGTCACAGGCAAGCCGCGAAGGGGACGACCAAAGGGGACAACCAAGAGTTTTTTGGCGTGGGCTGCGCAAAACCAGACTTGGGAAAGTGCAAAGCCAGTGACTGAAACACCAAAGCCAGGTTCGATTGAGCACGCTCGCCTGATGAGACATCAGAAAATTGAGAAACGCAGGCAAGAGCAGCTCCAACTTCAAGCATCAGGCCAAGAACTTGAAGCTGTTATAGAGTTATAGGAGACACTACGCAGCGTTCATTGTGGGGGATGTGTCGTGATGCCTAGTGAAGCCAAAAGGCATCAGGTTCAGAAGTTGATAAGGATGACCCAGATCCAGTTATTGATGCTCTGTTGGCTGGTGCTGCTGTGCCAGCGTCATGTAAGGGTGTGGAGCAGTTGATGCAACAACCTCACTATGTACAAGACTTGCTTTTCCAAGTTGGAGCTGCAATCTTTGCCTTTGGGACTTGGATGTGGGCAGTTGTTTTGTCTCACTTCCTGATCAAGCGCAAGGGCACTGCCAGCGGCGCAAACAGCACTGGCCCAGGCTGGAGACCTCTCCTGGTGCTCACCCTCTAAAATCAGGGTGTCAGTTTCAGACAATGATCACAAAATCCTTCCAAGAGACAATCCAGATGAGACATGCACTCATGCAAAAATCATTCAATGCCAGCATGTGCAGGGTGCACTCCTTCAAAAGCTCGAGGACAGCTCATTTACTTTCTGCACTTCGATGCTACCTACGCACCTTTCTGCAGTGGATCGAACGACAGGTGAAAATACACGCTTACTGTAGTGCTTTGGGAACAAGTGTCTTCAATTCCGGAATGCACCAGGATCTCCAATGGGTTTGAGATGGCAGTGCGTATCAGTGTAGCTGATAGATGCTAACCTACGTGCAGAGTTTTTCACTGACTAGCATTAGAAATGCAAGTGGCAATGCTTGTCCCGTGTGGAGCTGGGGGCCACAAGGATACTCAATCCTGGAGAAAGATCTTGAAATAGTTCATGCCCCTCCTGCCATTGAACCTGGCAGCCAGTATGATGAGTACCGGCAAGGAGTCTTCAACCTTTACTTGCCTATGCACGCTGGAATTCCTCGCTGGAAGAGAAAAACGCATGCCAAGATGAGGTTCATATGGTCTTATTTCCTCAATGGTGATTTGACATCACCAGCAATCACCCACTATTGTGCCAGAGGGTGCTGCGAGACCAAGGCTTCATGTCGGCAAACAGTGGCCCATTTCCCGGCTTGGGCATTGGTCCCTCGAAAACTCCCTGTCTTGAGTAGAATGACATGGACTAGTTTCCATGATTCTTTGGCTTGGACCGAGATCCTTGCGAGCCATCATGGCATTTCAGCGCCTAATGGAAGCCTTTCTGGGAAAACCCAGGCAGCCGCACCAACCCAAACCAGATTGTTCTGCTACTCCTGTCGCACATGCAGGTGATCCTTGGATGAGCGCAATGGCTTTAATCAGAAGCCCCTGAGAACAGGGGTGCTGCTGTTGAACAGGAACTGCTGCCAGAGGATTCCAGCCCGCTGGAAGAGGAAGATCTGAATGAACCAGATTGGAAGAAGAAGAGGAAGAAAAGGCAGTCCAAACAAACTGCCCGTGAGTGGGTGGCAAGCCAACCAGGCCACCGAATTGCAGTCCTTACTGACATTTTGGAACCTCTCTTCATCCTCATGAACAAGTTTTTGAAGATGTCAGGTATGAATTGGCGAAAGCAGCAGGAGAAACTTGCCTTTGATTCCAAAAGGAGGAGCTATGCTGTTGTGGAAGCCGCTTTGGGAAAAGATGTAGAGGAATGCAAAATCCAGGCAGGGGTACCAAGACCAAAAGTGACTTGTCTCTGGCAAAGTCACTTGTTAATAGGAGGGGGTTCTGCCAAGTGCACTTGTTTTCATTAGTCATTTTCATTGAGAGCGGGGGACTGTGAGAGTGCAGTTTTTTTGCTTTTAAATTGTGTTTTAAAAAATGTTTGGTATCAATTGATGCTCAAGATATGCAAAGATGCTTGTTTTCACTCTAGGGCAGAAGATACCACTCTACTCTAACATGGGGCCTGGGGTTTGGGTTTCCCAAAATTTTAGGTAAATGCTTCAGTGGTAGCCCCTCTCCATATAAACACACACACACATATATATATAGATATAAATAATCTATTCCTGTTCTCTCTATATGAACAAAAATATAATGTATTCCTGAATCAGGGTCATCTCATTGTTTTGGAAGCAGCAAGCAGTCATTCAGATGGTTTTGAACAAAATAATTAGGAAAGAAGCAGTCCATAAACGTGTCTCTAGATCTCTGCTTATAATTATGTTTAGATTTGGAAATAGTTTATATAGACGCGTTTATGTTACAACAGATTCTCTATAGATCTCTGCAAATAATCATTTTTAGATTTAAACAACTATATATATAGACACCTTGTATGTTAAAAGCTTTATTCTAGATTTCTGCGGGTAAGAGCTTGCATTTTCAGAGTTTTCCTCTGGACCTCGGGGAAAGTAGATATCCCATACTTGAGGCCGAGGGTAGGTGACGAAAGCTAGCAGGGGTGCATCCGGACTGGTGGGACATCAAGCGGAGTGAGGCAAATGCTCATGAGGTAAAACGTTGTGAACATGTAAGACACACAAACAGCAATGACACAGCCAACCTTCGAATTGAAGTCCCCGACAATTAAGGAAGCGTGGCTGGACTTTGCCACACTGTTCGATGCATCCGATGTGTTCACGAACCTGTGAGCTTGTTGAATCTGTTGCACCGTATCCCAAAACCTCCACGGAGGAGTTGAACCAGTGATGCCATAAGAGGTGCCCAAGAGGTGTCCCAGAGGCAAAACAAAGCTGCTTGCATGATTTGTTTGGTTTCTTCTATCGATGTCGATGTCATGAACATGTGAGCTTGTTGAATCTG